GGAGCCGATGAGATGGCAGCAGCATCAGCACCGCGCACTGACTCATCGCCGGCAACCCGGCTGCTGTAATCCCCGCCTAGACGCGACGCCCGGGGCCACCGCACTGCCTGTAAGAGGAGCGCACCCAGAAAGGCCAGGGCCACGCCGCGCTCCCGCTCCCTCTTCTTAACTGAAAATTTTCTGGATTGTTCAAGCTGCAAATGTAATCAAACTAGCGAAACGAGACACAAACGTACACAAAAATGGAAGCTCCTTAATTATATGTCCGTCTGCATGTGTTTCTATGTTCGCATGGACATAAAAACGTTGCACAGGTACACCCACATGCATTTATTGCTGTTTGTTTTTACAAAAATTGGATCAAACTGGACTCTCACTCTGCAACTTGCTTTTTTGCAGTTCATAAAACGTCGTAGACATCTCAATTTCCAACTCGTGTTCTCTTTGCCACAATAATGCTGCAGTAAAGACTCTTTTTACTGTAGCCGCACGTACTTTGTGTCTATGAGCTAGAGTCTTACAAAAGGGGCCAGGAAGTCAAAGAGTGCAGATATTTTTAATTTAATGGGCATGTTTCCATTGCTGATGTTAATATTGCCAAAAAATATGTAGCAATTTAAATTCCAGCCAGCAATGCGTGGAGACCTTTTCTCTCTATTATTTTAAGAACCGAGTGTTTTATACTTTCTTAATTCTTGTCAGTCTGATGTAGTTGAATAAAAACGTATCTCATTGTTTTATTTTACATTTCTCTGACTATTATTGAGGTCAACACCATGCCTTATGCGTTGACCACTTGCATTTCCTGTTCTGGGAATTACCTCTCCATATTTTTTGTCTGTATTGTTTATGTTGTAATCCTTTGTTATTGCCTTACTAAAATTTTTTGCTTGTTTCTTAAAACACAGCTTTATTGATACATAAATTGACATATCATACAATTCACCCATTTAAAGTTAACAACTCAGTGGCTCTTAGTGTAATTAACAGATATGTGCAACCATAACTACAGCTAATTTCAGAACGTGTTTATCACCCCAAAAGAAACCTGAACCTCTTAGCCCTCATCCTTCTATCCCGCTTCCCTCCAGCCCTGGCATCCACTAATATACTTTGTCTCTCTATATTTCCCTATTCTGAACATTCCATATAAATGGAATCATACAATATGTAGATTTTTGTGACGGGCTGCTTTCACTTAGCGTAATGTTTTCAAGGCTCCTCCATGTTATATCATGTACCAGTATTTTATTACTTTCTATAGCTGAATAACATTCCACTGTGTGGCTAAACCACATTTTCTTTATCCATTCACTCATCAATGAACATTTGCTTTGTTTCCATCTTTTGGCTGTTGTGAATAGTTCTGCTATGAACCTTCGTGTACAAGTTTTTTGTTTGTTTGTTTTAAAACTTTTTCAGTTCTTTTGGGTTCCTGGGTCCTATGGTAACTCGATTTTTAATCATTTGAGAAAATGCCAAACTGTTTTCCACAGTGGCTGAACCATTTTACATTCCCACCAGCAATGAATAAGGGTTCTAGTTTCTCCACATCCTTTCGAGCACTTGTTATTATCTGACTTATTTATTCTAGCTATGCTAGTGAGTGGGAAGTCGTATCTTATTCTGCTTTGATTTGCATTTCCCTAATGACCGAAGAGGTCAAGCATATTTTCACATTCTAATTACATCTTATATCTTTTAAAGAGAAATGTTGATTTAGATCCTCTGCTCACTTTTAAACTGAAACATTAGTCCTTGTACAAGGGATCTTCAAAAAGTTCATAAGATTAGTATTATCTTATAATTCTATTTTTCCTTGAACATTTTGCTGTACCCTTGTATTACTGAGTTGTAAAACGTCTTTATATATTCTAGATACAAAAGTCCCTTATCAGATATATGATTTGAAAATTGTTTTGCCGTTCGGTGTATTCTTTTTTTACTTTCTTGACAGTGTCCTTTGAAACACAAATTTTTAAATTTCGATGAAGTGCAGTTTACCTAATTTTCCTTTTGTTGCTTGTGCTTCTGGGGTCATGTCTAACAATACTTTGTCAAATCCAAAGTCATGAAGATTTACTCCTATGCTTTCTTCTGAGTTTTATAGTTTTAGTTATATATTTAGGTCTGTGATTCATTTAATTTGTATATATGATGTGAGGTAGGGGTCCAACTTTATTCTTTTGCATGTGGATCTCCAGTTGTCCCAGAACACTTTCTTAGAGTATTATTTTTCCATTGAATGATTTTGACACTCTTGCTGAAAATTGATTGACTATAGATGTATATGTTTATTTCTGGACTCTCAATTTTATTGTTTGCCTATATGTCTAGCCTTATGCCAGTAAAACACTGTCTTGACTATTGTAGCTTTGTAGTAAGTTTTGAAGTTGTAAAGTGTGAGTTCTCCTACTGTGCTTTACTTTTCCCAATTGTTTTGGCTGCTTAGGGACACCTTGCAAATTCATATGAATTTTAAGATTAGCTTGTCAATTTCTGCAAATAAGGCAGCTGGGATGATGATAGGGACTGCATTGAATTTGTAGATCAATTTGAGGAATATTGCTGTCTTTACAAAAGTAAGTCTTCCAATTTATGAACATAAAATAGTTTTCCATTCATTTGGGTCTTTTAAATTTTTTTCCACAATGTTTTGTAGTTTTCAGTGTACAAGTCTTGCACCACTTTGGCTAAGTTTTTTCTGTGTATATTCCTATTTTTGATGCTTTTGTAAATAGAATTGTTTTCTTAATTTCATTTTTGGATTGCTCATTGCAAGTGTATAAAAATACCATAGATTTTTGAATATTGATTTTATATTCTCTAAACTTGCTGAACTTTTTATTAGTACTAATAGTTTTTTAGTATATTCCTTATGATTTTGTCAAATGTCTTTTATTGAGATGATCATATGATATTTGGTTTTTATTCTATTGATATGATGTATTACATTAATTGATTTTGGGATGTTGAACGAACCTTTCATTCCTAGGATAAACCCTGCTTAGCCATGGTGTGCAATTTTTTTATGTTTCTGGCTATAGTTTGCTAGCATTTTGCTGAGGATTTCTGTATCCATACTCAAAAGACTGATCTGTAGTTTTCTTTTATTGCGATTTCTGTGTCATGTTTCAGTACCAGGGCACTATTGGCCTCATAACATGAGTTGGGACGTGTTCCTTCCTCTTATGGTTTTTTGGAGAGTTTGTGAAGAGTTGGTATCTATCTGTCTGTCTATCTATCTATCTATCTATCTAATCTTACTGTGGTAAGAACACCTAACATGAGATATATTCTCTTGACAAATTTTTTTTTTTCTTTTTTTTTTGTCTTTTTGTCTTTTTCCATGTCGGGCAACGGATCACAACCCTCAGTGTTGCCCCCGTACCGGACCGGGGACCGGCAACGGGATTGCAACCCTCGGTGTTGCTCCCGCGCCTTGCTCAGCCAGTGAGTGGGAACCGGTCTGTATGTGGGATTCGAACCCTCGGGCAGGAGCGCCGCCGCACTTCCCAAGCGGCGCACTATCCAGTGCACCACCGGGCCGGCCCCGCTCTTGACAAAATTTTAAATGCACAATACAGTGTTAAATAGGCACAATGTTGTAGAGCAGATCTCTAGAACCTATTCATCTTGCATAACTGAAACTTAGTTTGTCTTTAAATGTCTTCTAGAATTCAGTGATGAAGCTGCCTGGTCTTTTCTTTAAGGGTAGTTTTTTTTTATTACTGATTTAATCTCTTCACTTATTACAGGTCAGTTAAGATTGTCTGTTTCTTCTTGAGTCAGTTACAGTAGTTTGTATCTTGGTAGAAATTTGTTCATTTCATATAAGTTATCTAACTTATTGGCATACAATTTTTCATACTTTTCCTTTAAAATCCTTTTTAATTCTATAAGGTCAGTAGTAATGTCCTCATTTTCATTACTGATTACAGTAATTTGAGTCTTCTCTCTTTTATTTCTTGGTCAATCTAGCTAAAGTTTTGTCAATTGTGTTGATCTTTTCATTTATCTCTGCTCTAATCTTTATCATTTCCTTCTTTTTACTTGATTTACTTTTAGTTTGCCCATCTTTTTCCAGTTCCTTAAGGTGTTAGGTTAGGTTATTGACTGGAGATCTTTCTTTTTTTCTTAATATAGGCATTTACAGCTATAAATTTCCCTCTGAGCACTGCTTTATCTGCACCCCATACCTTTTTATATCTGTGTCTTCATTTTCATTTATCTCAAAGTATTTTCTGATTCTACTTTTGATCTCTTCTTTGGCCCATTTGTTATTTAGGAGTGTTTTGTTTAATTTCTACATATTTGTGAGTTTCCCATATTTTTCTCTTAATTTTTAATTTTATTCTATGTGATCAGAGAATATACTTTGAATTGTTTCTATCCTTTTAAATTTCATGAAATTTGTTTTATGGTGTGGTATATGGTCTATTCTGGAGAATGCTCCATGTGCACTTGAGAAGAATGTATATTCTCTTGTTGGGTGGAGTATTCTATATATGTTTATTATACCTAGTTGGTTTAGGGTGTAGTCTGTCTTCTGCACTTGTTGATATTTTGTATAGTTGTTCTATCCATTGTTGGAAATGGAGTTTGAAGTCTTCAACTGTTATTGTAGAATGATTTTTCACTTCATATATTTTGCTTCATATATTTTGGAGCTCTGTTGTTAGATGCACACATGTTTTCAATTGCTGTATTTTCCTGATGGATTGACCCTTTTATCGTTATGAAGTGTCCCTCTTTATTTCTAGTAACTTTTTTATTTTGAAGTCTATTTTGTCTGATATTAGTATAGCCACTCCAACTTTTGTGTGATTGCTGTTTGCATGATATATCTTTTTCTGTCTTTTTACTTTCAATAGATTTGTATACTTGAATCTAAAATGTGTCTTCTGTAGACAGCATATAGTTTTATCATTTTTTTAATCCACACAATCTTTGCTTTTTTATTGTATTGTTTAATCTCTTCACATTTATCATTATTGATATAGTTGGATTTTTGTCTGCATTTTATTTTTTATTTTCTATATGTCTTAATTTTTTTGTTCCTCTCTTCCTCCTTTATTGCTTTATTTTCCATTAAGTGAATATTTTCTAACGTAGCATTTGAACTTTTTAAACATTTTTTCATTATATTTTGAGATTTTTATCTTGGTGGTTGCTTTAGAGTCTATCATGTACATCTGAACTTATTCAGAGTTACCTTCAGATTTATACTAGCTGAATACCAGTAATATAGAGAAATATTACTCGATATTGCTCTATCACCTTACCTTTTCTCCCTTTTTGTGGAATTGTTGTTATGCATATTATGTCTATTAATGTTACAAATCCACCAATATATTGTTATAATTATTGCTTTACCATCTATATATTTTTAGTCCAACAAAGCTTCACTTCCACGAACCTCTTTTGTGTTGCTTTTGGCAAATATATTGCCTTTCTATATGTTATAGGCCCAACAATACATTTTATACAAATTTTATACAATTACTTTCTTAATCAGTAAAGAAAAAAAGGAGAAAAAATACATTTACACAGCCTTTTATAATTACTTAATTACCTGTACTGATGCTCTCTGTTTTATATATGAGTGAATTTGAATTACTATTTAGGGTCACTTGCTTTCAGTCTGAAGAAACTCCTTCAGTATTTCTTGTAAGGTGGATGTACTAGCAATAAATTCTTCAGTTTTTGTTTGTTTGTCTGGGAATGTCTTTATTTGCTTTCCCTTTTTGAAAGATAACTTTGCTGGATGTAGAATTCTTGGTTGACAGTTTTTTTTCTTTGATCACTTTGACTATGTTATTCCACTGCCTTTTGGCATCCACTGTTTCTGATGACATGTCATCTGTTAATCTTATTAAGGTTCCCTTGTAAGTAACAAATAATTTTTTCTTGATACTTTTAAGATTTTCTCTTTATCTCTGACTTTCAGCACTTTTACTATGACATGTCTGTTTGTGAATCTCTTTATGCTTATTCTACTTGGAGTTCATTAATTTGCTGGATGTGTAGGTTATTGTTTTTCAATACATTTGGGAAGTTTTCAGCCATTATTTCTTCACATTTTTTTAGCTTCTTTTTTTCTCTCCTTCTGGTACTTCCATTGTACATATGTTGTCGCACTTAATCGTGTTCCACATTTCTGTGAGGCTCTGGTCACTTTTCTTCACTTTTTTCACTCTGATTTTCAGCTTGCATAATCTCTCTTGATCTGTCTTCAAGTTTGCTAATTCTTACTTTTGCCAGTTGAAGCTACTGAATCTTTTGCCTCTCTAGTGAATTTTTTTTCGGTTATTATACTTTTCAACTTCAGAATTTTCCCTTGGGTTTTTTAGAAAAATACATATATATTTTGAAAATATTTAGAAATATATATTAGAAAAATATATTAAAAAATAAATATAGAAAAAAAAAATATATATATATATATTGGTGGCTGACTAGTACCGGGATTCAAACTCCTTGACCTTGATCCTTGATGTTATAACATTGTGTTCTAACCAACTGAGCCAACTGGCCAGCCTAAAAAGTAATTTTTATGTGTTTATTGGTATTCTGTATTTGATTGATACTGTCATTATACTTACACTTCTTTAATCACGGTCTCCTTTCATTCTGTAAACATATTTATAATGTTTATTTTGAGATTTTTTTCTATTAAGTCTAACATCTACTCATTCTCACAGGTAATTTGTGTTTCCTGTTTTTTCCCCCAGGATCATATGGATCATATTTTCCTGTTTCTTTGCATATCTCATAATTTTTGTTGGGAACTGGACATTTAGGTAACATATTATAGCAACTCTAGATACTGGTCTGTTTCCACCCCCAAACCTGGGGCTTGTTATTGGCTTGTTATTTTCAAAAAGACTAACTGGATTATATTAGTTTAGTGTTTTCCACAAACACACAGTGTTAAGCTTCTGTTATTGTGTTGGGAAAAAATGCAAAAGAAACTTGCTCATAAGCCTGTCGTATCCTTGAAACTATATTTGCTTGCTCCACTAGTCTGGCTATTAATCAATGCTTATATTTTTCGCTTCTGTAAGCTTGCTTATCTGCACAGCCCACATATGCTAGCCTAGTGAATGCTGAGAAAAGAGGAAAAAGAATGTAAAAAAAGCTCTGGAAGAGTCCACTTATAAAAACCTTGTGAGACCTGAGCTGAGGGTCCAGATTTTCAGGCATTAGTCTGTCTGGGCCTGCTGGCATAATAAATACCTGACTCTCCAGTTCTCTGAGTGCAGACTGCTTCTTGCTGAGTCCGTTTCCATAACAATTGTTCCTCAAGGAGGAGCAGCTTTGGATACACCCACAATCACCCTGACATGACAGTGGTATTGGTAGGACTCTTTCTCTCTTTTTCTGGCCACATCCATCTGTTAAACTCTATTCATTTCCAGCTGATTGCTCTATCTTGTTCAACAAATTCCTGGTGGCATAAATTGTTCTATAAATTAATACAATCAAATTATAGCTTCTTTGAAAAATAGTTTCTGAAGCTCACACTTGATATTTATTCTGACCCCAAGAAAGCTTCTTCCAGCTGTTTTATTCCTGGTTCACTCCTGCCACCTATCAGCCTACAGTCTAGGCTGTATCTTCATTAAATCTATGAATCTCCTCCCAGTGCCTTTCACCACAACCTTCACTATTCTTGAGAGTGCTCTTAGGTTTGAATTTCTCTGTGCTGTGTTGTAAATAAAGTTGGTTCCTTTGGAAAGATGTTAGGAGCTATCTGCTTTATGGACTGCTTCTCCTTCCAGGCAAAATCTCAGAGCCAGGGCTCTAGATCTGGGTGTGGGCACAATGGCAAGCTTCTCTCTGTGTGAAGCCTCTGTTCTAGGAGCTGAAAAATTGGCAGGGGGACATCAGCCTGAGTTGGAGCCACCACCTCATGAGCCAGGGGAATGGTGATTAGGGCTCCACTCTTCTCAGCACACTGCATCTAGGGTAGAGCCTTGGTCCCACAAATGAAGATTGGGCGGAAGAAGGAAACCCCCACTTCTCAACTGCAATCACCTGGGACTCAGCCTCAGCAGCATGTAGCTGGGGACAGGATGAAAACTGTTGACATACTTCTCCTCCCAGGAAGAAAGCCCTCTAACTAGGAGCTGAGGGGAGATGGAATTGCAGCAGCCTGGAGTGGTGCCTCCACCTTGCGGAGTGAGAAGAAAGGATAATAGTAGTCTTGGTTCGAATACCACAGACTCTTTCCTTTCTCATCAAATTGTACATTTTCTTTGATAGATGTTCTTTATTTGATGTTTGTCCTTAGGACCATTTCCAGAGGCTTTAAAGGGTTATTTAAAAAAAATAATTTTCACCAGTTTTCAATGAAGAGTGGGTCAGCTAAGCTGGTCTGTTGTCATGCCAAAAGCCTATCCTGCCTTACTCATTTGTAGTACCTGTTTGTATAGAAGGAATATTGGCCACTTGTCACATGGTTGCAAATATTTTCTACAAGATTGTAATCTATAAGACTTTCAAATAATGACCTTTGTTTAAATAGAAAAAACCCCAAATTTTGCTTAGTTAAATGTGAACTTCCTTTATGCTTTTGCTTTTTTTTTTTTTTTGTCTTGTTGAGAAAGGACTTCCCAACCCCATCTTTTTTTAATAAAAATATTTTCTCAATTTTTCTTCCATTATATTTATTTATATATACTTTTAACAGTTAAGTCTTTCATCCATTTGGAAATATACTTTTGCATTTGATGTGAGGAAGGAAATCAGCTTTGGTTTTTCCAGATGTATAGCCAATTATACTATTCTCATTTTATTAAACAAACTATCTTCCATTTATTCAAGTATTGTATGTCATTCATTCATTCATTCGTCCATTGAATGAATATTCCTGGAGCACTCACTTTGTGCCTGGCACTGATCTAGGCTCTGGGTATACATCAGATAACAGCACAGGCATGCTCTCTGCCTTCAGGGATCTTGCATTCTAGGAGTGTCTTTTCATGAGAAAATTAACCCCTTATAATCAATAGTTATTGATGAATTTAGCCCTTCCATAATCAATAGATCTTCATGTCACATATTCTAAAAGTTAAAAACCTCAACTAAGAAATTTTTAATGTTTTACTCCCTTGAAAAATATACCATGATCTGCTTATAGACTTTTATCTTTTTTCTTAGCAAATACTGTGACCAGTTTCAAATATGTTCATCAGTACTGTATTAGTCCATTTTGTGTTGCTGTAACAGAAATACCTGAGACTGGGTAATTTATAAAGAACAGAGGTTTATTTGGCTCACGATTCTGGGACAGCTGCATCTGGCACGCGCCTCAGGCTGCTTCTACTCATGGCGGAAAGTGGCAGGCAGTGGCGGGTACAAGCAGATCACATGGCGAGAGGGAGAGGGGAGGTGCTGGGGTCTTTTAAACAACAAGCTCTCATGGGAACTAATAGAGCGAGAACTCACTCATTAATCCCCCCTCCCCCAGGGAGAGCACTAATCCATTCATGAGGGATCCGCCCCCATGACTCAATCAGTTTCCAACACTGCCACATTGGGGATCAAATTTCCACATGAGTTTTTGGGGACAGCACATCCAAACTCTATCAAGTACAAATAATCTTTTTTCTTCACATTTACAAAATTGTATTAAATAAATAAAAAATTGGTATTATTATACCCCTTCAGAAAACAAGGCTAGCAAAAAGAGTTCAAGATATTTTTTCTATTTTGTTTTATTCTTTAGATTTTAGCCAATAAATTGTGTTACAAAAATATTGGGATTTTTTTCTCCCTTGACTGTGGCTGTTAGTTATTTGAAAAATACAGTTGGATTCATTTGTTATTTAGTTTTATGATAATTTTTTCTATCCTTGTTGATTTTATTTTATCTTTTGAATATGTAGAACATTAACATAATTATAAAAGTCAACACTATTAAAATGTATACACAAAGATAATAAATCGTCTCCCCTTCCCCACCTCTTTCGCTTTGCCCCTCGTAGGTAACCAATTTCTATTGTTTGTTTTTATCTTTTCTGTGTTTCTGTTGAAACAAGCAGATATTCATGTTCTCTTATTTTCCTTTATTTCTTACACAAAAGTTACTGCAGTATGAACTCTTCAGCACTGTGATTTTTTTCACTTAATAATAAATATATTTTGGAAATAGAAAAAAATACATAATTTTGTATTAGTTTTTTGATCTTTTGTCCCTCAATTTTTCAGATATTTATATGTTAGAGGTATTAGTCCTCAATCTGTAATATACGTTGCAAATATTTTCTCCCAGTTTGTTAGTTTCTTCTGACTTTGTGGTGGTTTATTACCATGTAAAAAGTTTCTGATTAAAAAAATTTTTTGTAAAGTCAAATTAATCAATTTTTTTATTGTAAAGGTTATATGACCAAGTGGAACTTGTTTGAGGTCAGGCTGGGAGAACACCTGAAGATGTACTTATATAACATTGTGCTTACCTTTATAATAATACATATGTATTGTAATTGTGTGTCTAATTGCCTGTCTCCATTACTGAACCGCATGTTTTGTAAGAATAGGGACCATCCCCTTTGTGTGAGGCATAATATCCTATTGCTAAAAGTGTGGATTCAAATTACAACTCTACCATTCACTAGATGAGTGAGATTGGGCTGAATATGTAACTTCTTTGAACTTTAGTTTCCTCACCAGTAAAAATAAAATAATAATGAGTAAACTACTCTGGGTCTATGATTCTGTATGTATAAACCGGGTATAATAATAACTACTTGTGAGACAAAGACAATTATCCTAGACCTAGAAAAATACAAGGTAATGCTTGCTTGACATTTTAATGTCACAATAGAGCATTTTCTAATAAGCGTGATTGACCTCATCTGATCCTCATTGGGGAGTGTAACTTTGCTGTTCACTATATTTGACTAAAAGTCCAAAATTGGTAAAGGTACAGATGATTTAGAGCCCTATAAGGTTAGAACTGTAAATATGTAGAAATTGATATGTTCTTGTGATTTGGTAGCCCCGTAGAGAACTTAACCACAAAGATAAAATGTCTTATTGCTCTGCAGAAAGTTAACCAGTTAACTTAGTAATTATTTGTCAGTATTCCTTTCCTGATTGACGATATAAATCTCTGTTCCTCTAATACTCTTTAAACAGCTATTTTCTCTTTCTCTGGTTCTCTCATAAATAACATCGTTTGAGAATTGTGTTTTTGCATACTTCATAAAGTTGTTGAGAGGATTAAATAACTAAATAATAGTAACATTAATAACATAGTTAAAGTACTCAATAAGTTGTTACTGAATTGAACTGCATCGATGTCATCTAAGAAGATAAAAGGAAGTAAGGCTGGGGCGCTTCTAGGGTTCTTTCCCCTGTTCCTGGGAGCCCCATCTGACCTTCAAAAAAAGCGTAATAATTTTTTTGTCTAAGAGGGTAATTCTGAGCTGTATCAGTACTGTCACAACTGCCCATCTTGCTCTTTGTTGGAGCTTAGTGGTGACACGAACATACTTTAAGTAGGATATAAGTCTGTAAAAATGGCTTCTGTTAGAGAGTTTCAGGGCATGATATTGAAAAGCTTTGTTCTTTAAAATCACAGCTCTTAGAAAACTTCATTTTTGAAATCATACTAGTGAAAATGGAAGGATCAGAGCTGTTCAGAGAAGTCACACCCCCACCATTCAGTCCTGGTACAATTTCTCAGATCCAGGGTCTTCCAAAAAGGAGGGGACATTACACTATATATTTGTCTTGACTTTGTGGTTTTCAAGGACAGTATTTTGGGCCATTTCCATGCCTAGGCCTGATGTTAACTCTTTACTTACTGCCTTTTCTTCAAACCTCTTAAAACATTACTTCATTTAAATTTTATCTGAACTCCACCCTTCCCTCAAAGCCTATAATAACCCCATGTTTTCCTTTTTTGAAGCTACACTTCTGCTTGTGATTCTCCTTTGAAGGATCAAGAATTTTCAGCTTTTGTTTCCAGATTTGAATAATTTGAGAGGACTTTAACAAGTGAATCTGAATACATATAGTAATGCAACATTTTAAATTCCGTAGAAAACTTTGTGATTACCCTCTAAGTACTGTGTACCTTATCCTTTTGTGCACAGCAACAAGAATTTTTGGTCAGCCAAATTTCTAGTTTCCCTCTTATTTCTATGAATAAAAGATCTGACTGATTTTACAAGTTTGCCATATATTTTCTTCTGATCTTGTTTTTTAAAATTATGTTTTATCTGATAAATGCTTGCTCATTTAACAATCATATAATCTGGTCACAAAGTCCATATTTTCATTTCTGACTATGAGGTGGTCATATTTCTATGTGGTAAATGCTGTTCTAAGACCAGTTGGTCTTGATCTCTTTCTAGAGATGATTTTTTAAATCACTCTTTTAGCATTTGCCTCTTGATATGCTCACCCTCAGATTTTATTTTTCATATCAGAAATAAACTCATGAATGTATTAAACTAACAAAAATGTAAAATCATTGTAATGATTTAGATGGAAATGTTTCTAAGGAGCATTTTGAGATTGTGGCTCTACTTGTTATTTGTAACTTCAGACATCAAACAGCTTACACATTATGCATTCTTGGAATTCAAGCAAAGAGCAAAAGATCTTGATGCTTTTCGTGTCATTCAAGATTGCAGTGATTTTCCGTGGGAATAAAGAAAATAAAGTGAAAATATGAAGTCCTGTAAAATACACAGAAGACAGATTGTTTGTGGCTAACTAAATACAGAAAATACAGTTCTTTTTCATAAGAAAGTTGAATAGAAGTAGTATTTTCCATATGCTTATTTCCAAAAACCTTTCTAATACAGCAACAAGTAAAATCTGATAACAAAGAGAGCTTTTTCTCCTGAAAGAGCTGTCCTAACTCTTCTGTTTAGCTACACTTGCATAAGTATTTTCAATTTCTTTGTCCTCAGGACACGTGTGGATAAATTCTTCACGGGCATAGGCATTGTGGAGATAGCGCCAGACTCCTGAGAATTCTGCTGGAATATCAAAGTCACGGTATTTCTTGGCAGCAACCTAAGATTTTGGAAAAAAAAGAGGAAAATGAAGTTGGTAGTAAAAAGCACCAATAATATGAGTACTATGCAGAAGCATATCTCAAAAGTCAATGAAAACATCAACACACACAAAAAACTACAAAATAAACAAAGAAACTTGGATTCACTGTTTTAATGTTCTGTCTACAAATGTAGACTAAGCTATATGCTTGCAATCACATTTATATGGATACTGTGTTTAGTTTTGAATATGTTCAGAGGAAGAGAGCACAGAAGCACATACCTGTGCCCTGCCCCCCACCCCCCAGCAGACTAAGAGTTTATTTAGGGTCCTGTCTTCTTCTGTGCATTCTGTTCAATAAATATTTGTTGAGTTAATTATTAAATCATTAATATCATCATCATCATAATAGCCCACTTGTTTATCACTTGTTATGATCTAGGCATTGTTCTAAGCATTTTACATGCTTTAATTTATTTAATTCTCTCAATAACAATTCTGTAAAATATGTGATATTATTACCCTTATTATACAGACAAGACAGTGAAAAATACCTTCTGATTTAGGAGGAAGGAAGCAAGAAGTTTTAATGCTTTCCAGAGGAGATCTTTATGGATCTTTCCTCTGAGGAGAAAAAAGAGATATACACTACGCACAATAACGATTACAAAGGTATAACAACCTCACACTGGAAGGTCACTGTGCTTCATGCTGGCAACTCTTAAACCATTCATCCTGACCTATAAAGACTTACCTTAATGATGTTCAATTTGGGTAACAAGCTGCAGTCAGCCAGTGTCAGCTGGTCTCCATCCAAGAACAATCTTCTGGAAACAGTGAGTTCCTCAGCACTGTCTGAGTCAATTTCATCCAGAAGCGGGGTGTTTAGGTAGTCATCCAGACGCTTAAATTCTCTGAGCAGAGATTTTTCAAAATCTGAGGCAATGGAGTTATAAGGTTACTTATAAATATATTGTATTCATGACTAAATACATGCTCAATATGTTCTTCACACATATAGACATCTCTATACACATTGCTTACACTGGTTCTTCAGCATCTAATTAACTACCCACTGATTAGACAGAGATCAAATGGTGAGCGGAAACATTTTGGACTTTTCTTGGAGAGGTGGTGTTGGTAGGAAAATTAGAGAACATCAATATATGTTATCCAACACAGAATAGTCAGAAAGTGGAAGACATAGCTCTCATGACTCAGAGGACGGTAAACCTATTCAAGGATGTTTGTTGGAGATAGTAGGTGCTACAGTTTAAAGAACTTTAAAGATCCACAGTCCTACAATTAGTTCCCATCTGGCATGTCAATTCTTTAACTGAGCTAAGTTGTTAATTGCTATATTGAATTTTAGTTCTAAATCTAATACGGCTTCATGCAAGGGAATTTCAGAAAGGAGAACCAAAAATGAGAGGAAGAGTAAGCTGTTCCCCAACATATACTACATATTCAGGAAAATTCTGTCGGCTGAGTGAGAATATGAGCATGAGCAACTGAGTGAGAAAAATAGAGATTTAAAGAAAAGTATCTTACTGTTATTTGCCTCCTTTTGTGTATTCTTAATGTAGGCAGAAAACTTGGCAAAGAGGTCACAGCCCACATCAAAGGACTCCTTGTATCTGGGACTCAAGTGAGGATACCTTAAAAAGAAACATGAGTGAACTGTCATTTGCACATAAGATAGATACCAGGTGTCCTAGCTTGCACTATCCTGAGAATGGAAATTTTGGAAAATTGTGCCGAAGACTGAAGGTTCTCATAAATCTCTCAGTAAAAATATATATTTCCCCCCAATCTCAGAATACTTTAGTTTCCAAAGTTCACTGGGAAGTTGGTTGTCTGGAATTCAAAGCTTATTTACCAGTAGAAACAAGTTTTAAATGGTAGCTAGATTTCCATACTTGTTCCTAAAAGCCTACTTGGAAGATTTTATGGTAGAAATATAACACATTTTCAGAGATAAATAGTAGAAAAATGTAGCATCAAATATTGCAACTTATAGGCTTCTGGTCAAGATGGCAGAATAGATGGTCCCCAGCATCACTTTCTCCCACAAATCAACCAATTTACAACTATTAGAAACCAATGACAGCCAAGCTAGGGCCACTAGAGATCAGGAGAAGAGGAGGAGAGATCTACGAAGTGCATGAAGGTGGGAGAAGCCACAATGAGAGAAGGAAAGGACCGCTCCCACCATTTCAAATCCCAGCCACTGCAAGGCTGGAGCTGGTGAGCACATGGAGCAGGAGCTGGCAAAAGCTGCAGATGTGCCCTTTGGATGAAGTTTCTTGGAGGCAGCAGGGGAGAAGAGGGCCTTGGTGGCCCCCAAGCCAGACACACCACGAATAGGGTTCCCGTGAACCCACATAGGACTGAGGAGCCATAACAACTGAAAAAAAAAGAGCCACTCAGAGGCTGGTGAGTCATCACAGGAACTGGCACATGGTCCATCCCATGGGAATTGTTTGGAGCACGGGTGGTAGGGGAGACAGGCCCACTGGGGGAACACTGGGGCACAGCAAGGACAGCTGATCTGCCCCCAATCAGCCCAAGACAATTCAGTGTAGACTGGTCAGTAATATAGAGTTGCATGGGGTGCAGTTTGATGAAAAAACTCAGGCCCAGACCAGAGTTTCTACACAACCCAGGTGTACCACCCCTCGCAAGACCCAGAAGTGCTTACAATGTCAACCATTAAACCCTGAGCTGCACAAAAAGCCTTCCCCAGGGAATCAGCAGCAAAGCAGCCATTTAGCTCAACCACAGGGCTCAAGTGCTGGTCCCCACAGGAAGTTCCCCCATTTTAGACATAAGCAAAGGGCAACAAATTAGTTCCAGTGCAAAGTTTAAGTGGTAGGAACAGTGAATATTCCAACACAGAACTGAAAGAGAAAACAAAAAACCCACAGACCAGAGACAAAGTTTGATGCTAACTAGTAAAGATCTCACATCACCAAAGAACACCTATAACACCTAGAAGGACCAGAAGTTCCCTGGACTACCAAGCCAAGGAGGAGGGGTGCTGGGGGCCTCAGCCATGCCTCCCAACACCCACAAAAAATAGGATATTTCCTTCTCCCTTCCTCTGTACCCCTCCCCCCTAACTGTGCCACACCAGCATCATAGAATGTAAAAAATTAATATTAATAAATAAATGAACTTAATAAAAACAACAAAAAAACCCATATGATCACCTCAATAGATGCAGAAAAAGCATTAAACAAAATTCAACATCCCTTCATGATAAAAACTCTCAACAATTTGGTACAGAAGGAAAGTATCTCAACAAAATAAAAGCAATATATTGCAAACTCACTGCCATGATCATCCTTAACAGAACAGGAACAAGACAAGGATGGCCACTCTCACAAGTCCTAATAACGTAGTATTAGAAATACTTGTCAGAGAAATCAGGCAAGAGAAAGAAATAAATGGCATCCAAAATGGAAAATAAGAAGTCAAAAAGTCCCTGTTTGCAGATGACAAGATCCTATATATAAAAAAAACTTAAATACTCTACCAAAAAGCTCTTAGAGCTGATAAATGAATTCAGTAAAGTTTCAGGGCACAAAATCAATATACAAAAATCAGTAGCATATTTATACTCCAGCAATGAACTAGCAGAAAAAGAAATCAAGAAAGCTAGCCCATTTACAATAAGTGCAAAAAAATAATTTTAAAAATCTAGGAATGCATTTAACCAGTGAGGTAAAAGATCTCTACAATGTGAACTACAGATTACTGCTGAGAGAAATTGAAGCAGACAACAAAAGATGGAAAGACATTACATGTTCATAGATTGAAAGATCTAATGTGAAAATGTCCATACTACCCAAAGTGACCCACTGATTCAGTGTGATCGCCATCAAAATACCAATAAAATTCTTCACAGAAATAGAAAAAAAATCCTAACATTTATATGGAACAACAAAAGACCCTGAAAAACCCAAGCAATCCTGAGCAATAAATAAGTAAATAAATTAATAAAGGCATTACATTTCCTGACTTCAAAATATACTACAAAGCTATATTAACCAAAACAGCATGGTACTGGCATAAAAACAGACAATTTGACCAAAGGAACAGAATAGAGAACCCAGAAATCAATCCATGTATTTACCACAATCTGATCTTGGACAAAGGCACCAATAGCATACATTGGGGAAGGGACAATATTTTCAATAAATTGTGCTGTGAAAACTGGATAACCACATGTGAAAGAGTGAAACTAGAACCATACCTCACACTATATACCCAAGTCAACTAAAAATGGATTAAAGACCTAAATATAAGTGTGGAGTATGTATAAAGGAAATGTACTTCACAGGGCCTGGTTTTCCAAAGCCTTGCAGTTTCAAATATTGACCTTGCAAAGGACAGGAAAATTTCCCCAGGCTATAATCTCTGTTGTAAGATAAAGAATTGTAACACACCAAGGTTGCTGGCTCAAAGGCAGACAGGTTACTGATTGATATGTAAAGATACTGGGAAATTGTATGGGGAGAAGGAATGTTTGCTAAGATCAAGCTTTTGTTAGTGGATGGACTGAATTGCATTATAGAATGTCACCTTGCTTGTCTTACTGAATGTTACCAGCTTCTACTGTTAAACTTGTTAAACTGTACTTAGAAAAAAATCCACGTATGGTCTCTTCCTGGTCTGGAGAATAAATGCAGGAAGAGAACCCCAATTTGTGGTTAATTTCCCAGATGGAAGGAATGCCTCACTCTTGAGGGTTCTGGGAGATTAACCCCTTTTCAGGGCTTCTCACTGCTCAGAAGAGATGGGCTTTGAGTAATCTCTGGTGGCTCCATCACCCAGGGGAAAAGGGGTGACAAATCCGTGGGAGGCAAAGCAATATATAAGAGCTGAAACTATAAAATTCCTAGAGGAAAATATAAACATAAGGGAAACACTTCAGGATGTAGGACTGGGCAAAGATTTTTTGAATAAGACCCCAAAAGCATGGGCAACAAAAGAAAAAAAAAAGATGGGATTATATAAAACTGAAAAACTCTGCACAGCAAGGGAAACAATCAACAGAATGAAAAGACAATCTACAGAATGGGAAAAAATATTTGCAAGCTATGCATCCAGCAAGAGATTAATATCCAGAATATACAAGGAACTCAAACAACTCAACAGTGAAAAAATAAATAATGCCATTAAAAAATGGGCAAAAGAGCTGAATAGATATTTCTCAAAGAAAGACATACAAATGGCCAATAGGTATATGAAAAAATGCTCAACATCAGTCAGCATCAGGGAAATGCAAATCAAAACCACATTGAGATATCATTTCACTCCAGTTAGACTGGCTATTATCAAAAAGGCAGAGAATAACAAATGCTGGTGAGGATGCCAAGAGAGGGGAACCCTCCTACACTGTTGGTGGCACTGTAAATTAGCACAGCCATTATGGAAAACAGTGTGGAGGTTTCTCAAACAACTACTGATAGAACTGCCATATGATCCAGCAATCCCACTACTGGGTATATACCCAAAGGAATGGAAATCATCATGTCGAAGGGATACCTGCACTCCCATGTTTATCTCAGTTCTATTTACAATAGCCAAGAGTTGGAACCAACTTAAGTGTCTATTATCAGACAACTGGATAAGGAAAATGTGGTATATATACACAATGGAATACTACTCAGCCATAAACAAGAATGAAATTCTTCCATTTGTAGCAACATGGATGAGCTTGGTGAAATTACGTTAAGTAAAATAAGCCAGACACACAAAGAGAAATACAGCACATCCTCACTCATAAGTAGGGGCTAAAACTTAAGTTAAATAAATAAATAAGAAGAAAGAAAAAGAAAAGAGAAGAAACAACAGTCACAATAATAGATTGAACTTTCAGAAGGAGAAAACAGAACTGTGGTTACTAGAAGTGGGAAAGGTGGATGGAGAGGGGGAAAGGGCCAGCAAGAAATTGTTTAATGGACACAAAGTATTATTGTGTATTGTAATGATGAAAAAGCTAATTATTTTGATCTGCCCATCACATATTGTACAGAAGTATTGATAGTCAGCTCTGTACCCCACAAATATGTAGAATCAAGTTTCAGTAAAAAAATTAAATGGAGACCTACAAACTGCCTGACCAATAATTCAAAATCATTGTCTTAAAGATGCTAGTGAGCTATAAGATAACAAAAGTAGAATACTAAACAAAATCTGGAAAACAATGTATGGGAAATTGAGAAGTTCAACAAAGGCATAGATCATTTAAAAAAGAAAAAAACCCCAGAAATTCTGGAACTAAAGAACAGAATGGTTGAACTGAAAAGTTCCATAGAGAGCTTCAAAAGCAGACTTGATTAAACAAAAGAATCAGTGATCTTGAACAAGAAAGCCAACAGGAAATATGGGACACTGTCAAGTGAACAAACGTTTGCAGTATTGGTTTCATGGAACATGTAGAGAAAGAGAAAGGGGTAGAAAGCTTATTTAATGATATAATGATTGAAAACTTACCAAATCTGGAGAAAATATAAATATCAAGATACAAGAAGGTCAAAGGCCTTCAATCAGTTTTAATTCAAATGACACTATACCAAAACATATAATCAACCTGTCAAAAATCAAAGACAAAGAAAGTATTCTGAAAGCTGCATGAGAAAAGCATATA